ATTATATATATATATATATATATATATATATATATTAAAACTCTCTCTTTACCTTTTGCAAGCCATATTTCATAAACCTCAGCAAGCTTCGCATATAGACAAAACTCGCACATGAACAAGGATGGGTTGGAAAAGTTGAGCCATTTTAATGGTGAGAGTTAGGCTAAGCTGGTATGTCGCTCTTTCCAATTTTGTTCTTTTAATTTTTGGGAATAAAGCTACTCTTTCTCCTCCCTTCTAATTCACATTGAAAGATTGCGTTACTGGGCAATGTAATGGTAAAAACACCCTATGATGGCTGGTTTTATCCTCTATTGAGATCACTGTATGGAGTCTGGGCAATGTAATGGGTTTTGTCCTCTACTGAGATCAGTGTATGGAGTCTGGACCAATTTTTTCAGAAATGATAGCTTGTCTATTGTGATCACCCCAAGCTTTTTGAAAAATCGAACTTTTTTCAAAGCGCTTTTGTCGCTCAAAAAATAGATTGGGCTCAACGAGAAGAAAAAAAAAGAGGTAGAGGGTAAAGCATGGGGTGAGAAGTAGAGAGATTCAAAAATAAAAAAAAATATAAATTCGGTTTTCAAATTTGAAATTGAAAAATTTTGGTTTTTCAAAAACTAAAAATAGACAGTTTCATTTTTTTTTGTTTTTTTCTGTGTTATGAAGTTGAAAAAATGGACATTTGTGTAATAACAAAAACTTTTAGATATTTTTATAGTAACAAAAATTATAATGAATATTTATGTAATTTTTTCTAAATTTTATAATTAAAAATAAAAATATATTTTAAAGTTATTATAAACATTTTCAAGATTGAAAACATATTTTTCCACATGAAGGTGCGCTTGCTTTCATTGTTTAGAGCCTCGGCTCTATACAAACTTCGCCCAGATATATATACACAATACTCGCTTCTCTCGAAGCTCACTCATTAGGGTTTCTCGGTAAAACCCTCTCATCCTCGTAGCCTCTTGGCTAGTGTTCGAAAAATCGACTGATCTAACCGCTAACCGGTCGGTTAGATCAAACCCGGCCCTGGTTCTGGTTTTGGGCAATTTTGGTGAACAACTGGTATTTTAAACTTTAAATAGAATAGTGCTTCAAATTTATATTAGATATATTAGAATGATTTATTGGTTAGCATTGGCGATTACCAACTGGTATTTTAAACTTTAAATAGAATAGTACTTCAAATTTATATTAAATATATTAAAATGATTTATTGGTTAGCATTGGTGATTACGTTTTACAGGAATCTTATCTTTGATCAAATCCCATTGCTAGCTTGCCCACAGGTATCGAACTTGGAACCTCCTAAACTATATATTACTTAACACTATTTTAATATTCCTTACATTACTCACTTTTATATTTTTCCATCTTTTTCAGAAACTTTTAAAAGTACTTCTAGGCATAAATCGATTCGTTAAAATTCATTTTTTTTATTATTAATTTTTAACTTTATTTGAGTGTATTTTGTTTTAATCACATTCTTTATGTGCTTTTTATATTTTAGTATATAACTTAACATTATTTTAATATTCTTTACATTACTCACTTTTATATTTTTTCATCTTTTTTAGAAACTTTTAAAAGTACCCCCAGACATAAATCAATTCGTTAAAATCCATTTTTATTATTATTAATTTTCAACTTTATTTGACTGTATTTTCTTTTAATCACATTCTTTATGTACTTTTCATATTTTAATATTTTTTTAAAAAAATTTACCCGCTCACCGGAATCGAATTCATGTCTTGGTCCAAAATAATCACCTACCTACAGAAATAGAACTTGGAACCTCCAATGAGGAAGTCTTTTATTATTGACCCAACAACCAATACGCTTTAATTGATAAAAAAAAGGACCTACATTATATAACTTAATTTTTTTTTAAAACAAAATCGGTCAAGTTGATTTTTTAACGCTATTTAAATATTCTTTACATTACTCTCTTTTTATATTTTCCCATCTTTTTTTAAAACTTTTAAAAGTACCTATAGACACAAATCAATTTGTTAAAATCTAATTTTTTTTTTTATTAATTTTCAATGTTATTCGAGTGTATTTTGTTTTAATCATATTCTTTATATGCTTTTCGTATTTTAATATATTTTTTTTGTATCTTTTAATTTTTTTCAACATCTTTTTTATAGCTCCGAACTTGTCCGGTTAGAGTGTTTGAATCAACCGATTTACCAGTTAGCCCAATTAAATCGCTTCCAAACCTATCTCCGATTAAGCGTTTCGGTTCGATTTTGCGAACACCGACTCTTGGCACGTCCAAGCGACCATGGCCTTGGCATCAAGAGTCCTTCTCTCTCATCCCATCCACCTCCACCCCATGAAAATTGTGTCCCCCATAACAACAGTGTGACGAAAAGTCGCCCAAATTTGCTGAGACCCCAAAAGAAGAGGAGGGATCCGCCTTTAAAGCACTCTGTTCAAGCTCCTCATGCGCACCCCAAAAGACCACTCTTGATTCACGGCTCTCTTTGCACACATGGTCGCATCTCTAAGTTTTTCCCTCAAATTTATATCGAATCTCAAGTTTTCCAGCAAAAGCCCCTCTGCCCCTCCTCCCTTTTTCTCTGTAGATCTGAACCCTCGCTCTCGCCCCTCCAATTCGACCGTCTCTCCATCCACAAGGGTGCAAAATTTGTGCTTCTGTCCCCTTTGTCAATCAGGCCCTCAATCTACACGATTTGCAAGTTCTGAGCATTGGGTAATTGGTTCTCTCTGAGATTTCTAGGGTTTCTTCGCTACTATTAATTGCGATAATTGGTTCTCTGTCAAATTGAGATTTGGTTTACGGGGCAGAGAAGTAATGGGTGATAAGCGTTTTCTGGTCTTTCAAATGAATCAATCAAACCACTGCCCTTGTAGAAGTCTCGTCTCAAGATTTGAACCCATGCTTGCCAAGAGAGACAATAGAGGTTTGGAAACTGGAGAGCTGAAGGGAATAAAGGATGCAATCTTAAAATCACATGCATCTCAAAAATCCATAGGAAAAAGGTTATTTTAATGTTGAAAAAATCTTTTAATTAATCATCTCATTGTATAATATGAAAGAAAAAAAAAATTGTCTCCACGAAACAATGCATCTTACAATACATTATCTAGACGGTCCATTTTTTAGATTTTCATATGTTTATAAATCTACTTGATTTTAACCCTTTTAGGAGTTTAACACTTTATAATTAGATATAAAAATAGATTTTGAGATAATCTTAAGACTGTTTGCCACTACACTTACATGTTATGATAAAATTTGGAGGTGCACTTTAATTGGATTGTTGAAGGTTGCAACCTTATAGAAACAAAGTCTTTTTGTGAATGAAAATACAATTAATTTGTAGAGAGAGAGATGACCTTTTTTGTTTTTTCTTCGCTTTATTCATATAGTATATGGCGGAGATCTCGGTTCCCCATGTTCGTTCTTTCTTCTTACAATTTGCTTCTAAATTTGTGTTTCTCTTTAAAAAATATAGCTTTATTTGTTAGTCGTTGGCTGCCAGTGAATTTTCAATTGCGTCAATAACTTTGTATCCATTTTGGAGAACCATCTCATAAAGTCACGAAAGGTGTAAGCAAAATAGGGAACTAAGCAAATTTCGTTCAACAATATCAACACAATTTAGGAATTTTAATCACTATGTACAATAGGATGATTTTGCAAAATCGGAAACTCATACTTATTTATCACAGTTTTGGACTCATATACATTAATAAATGAAGGGAAATTGAATAAAATACTCATGAGAGATGTATTATTGAGTATTTTACACTTTTTGGTACTATTCCAATTTATAATCATGTGCCTTTTTATGGGCATTTCGAAATGTTAAATAATTCATCTTACATGGGTATTTTGATGATTTTCCCATAAATGAATGAACAAGTAATAAAGGCTCAAATGTGTTGCTCCTCATGGCCTACACGTCAGGTGACGGACCACCCTATGATGCAAACTGCTGTTTTTCTTTTTAGATATTTTATTCTCTCCTGTATAATCTCAGTTCTACTGTTGTTGCACTTGCAGAGTGGTGGGTCCTGCAATCCCAATGTTGCATTTATTTCCAATTTTATCCACTTCATTCATCTCAACTACATTCATTTCCCCCTCAGTTTCTTCCATATTTTGAGAACATTTATCTCCAATTTGAGTCGGCAAGATCTTTTGCTTTTCATTGCCATCCTTGGCTCTACCCCAAAGCACAATGTAAAGCCCAGAAAATACCACAACCATGCCTACGACGCTGCAAAACCGAAACCCTTACTAGTTTAATAATCATGAACTCCGCAGAGATGGTGGATGTGCAGATGCAAGACTGTGCTTCTTGAGTCACACTAGTAAGAATTTTCTGTTGATCTTTCGGGAAGTAATGCTACTAACCAGGCGAGTGAGAAGTAAATGGTCACGGGGATGAAAGAACATGTACTGTACTTATTTTGATCTCTACCAAATACTTAGGAGTTCGAGTGATCCAGGAAAAGAACTTGAGGGAAGAACAAATTTCGTAATAACAATATACTCACCTTCCAATGTGAACATCCACGTGAAGAGCTATGGGTTCAAGAATAGCCACTAATACTGTGCTCGAAGGAGAGAATGCAGCCGTATAAAGAGGGCCTTTTTCTTTGAGGGACCAACTTTGTAAAAAGAATGATAAAGCTGAGCCAAAAACACCCTGCATTAGACCATGAACATTAACTTGTCAATACGTGCGGGTTAGTCCTAAGAGTGATGTAATAGTGAAGAACTTGGAAACAACCATGGTGGATTTGACTTGTTTATCTTTTCTCGAAATCTAAATTACGAAAGCATTTACAACAATAGGAATAATTATGTTTCTTTGAGGTTGAGTTAAGAGTTTAAGATGCTATATACGCTCTTTATGTGTTTGATTCGGTAATTGACAATTCTCATGTCAATTCCAACTAGTACTATTTAAGTTGCAATAGGGAAATCATGTACTGTGTTTGACTATAGATACATACACATTAGCGATGAACCACTTAAATCTTGGTGTTTCTCCATTTTATTTCGTTTTGTTCTATTTGCTTTATGTTGTTAGTGCTACTTGTAATTTCTCCTTTTCCCCATTATCATCATCCTCATCTACTAGGATATTTTGCAAAACATATATTGCCAATTCGAGTTAAGTGAAAAGTAGTTTTTGTGCATAAAATTATAAAAAAAATGAGGATAAAGTGAACGTTCTACATATTTAGAGATGTTATGCTGCTTGCATCTAGATGTGATAATAAATTCATTGAATCCGTTTCATGTAAGGATACAGGAAATCGACATGAGTTTGTTAAATAAGCTCATATGAAGTAATCTTACACTATAAGCATAAGTGAATAACTCGAAGTTCGAATTCGCTGTCCACGCAATGGACTTGTTGATGATAAGTGCCAGTATAGCAGACTGAAGGGCACCCATCCCTAACATCATCGCCGTGAGGGATGCTTGAGCCGGGTAATCCTTAAAAGCCCAAGACTGAATGTCACAAGGTAGAGCCAAGGTTATTAGAAGAAAAGCTTAAAACACGCATATATATA